AAATCGACCAATATATTTCTTAGATCTATCTTTGATCTGTAGAAAAGATATAATGAAGACAAGATGGTCACTTAAATGGAAAGTAACTGTGCATGCACATGCATTACCGCTTGACACTCTGCAGAGTGATGATGCTTGCTGTTATCCATATAGCGCCCTCTGCTGGTGAAAAATAACTGCTAGTTAATGAAACTCAAATAAAAATCGTCGCTACCAATAGTCACTGAATAAACAAATATCGGCTGATATTATCGGTTGGCTGATTAATCGGTCGGGCTTTTCTTTTACAGATCTTGCAGCTGTGTGAGGATGAACAAGTGGTTCCCAAACTTTTTCTGACGGACAAATGAAAATGTTTCCAAGCCTCTGAAATAGAGGAGTTTATAGGCATTTATTCAGCAAACTTACATTTGGATCCTACTGTATTTCAAGTCAGGGGATTTGAGATTCATCCTCTGAGGACCGTGAACAAATATACCAGATTTCCAGACATTTCATCTCTAGGAACTACGCGGTGACAGGATCTTTTGTAATGTTAACAGACAAAGAGTAAGGTCTTTTACCTGCTTTTTGTAAAGTGTCTCGAGACAACACTTGTTATGAGTTGACGCTATACAAATAAAAATTGATTGATTGATTGATCGATCTATCTGATAGTTGTTTGGTTTGTTTCAGTCCAGACCAACGAAGTGCAAGAAACAGTCAGACCAACTTCATCATCCAGAAAGCTGTGCTGCCAGTTTGTCTAATATAATCCAGCTGTGCTCTTTGGTAAGCAGAAAATAATTGTGTCCATCCCAGAGACTTATTCCAGGCACTGTAGAGAGTTAGGAATTAAAAATGTTCTTTCTTAATGTGTTTATTGATTGGAGAAAATATTCCAATGTATTTAAATACATCAATTTAGCTCTGAGATTTATTGAACAAATTGGATAATTAAAATGTGTCAAAACAAGTTCCTATTTCATCCGCAAGATGGCGGTATTACACCACATCTTTACCTAATAATTACTGGTTGAAGTCCTCTCTGTATAGATGTGTGTGCATGCTGTAGGTCTGGTTGAAGTCCTCTCTGTATAGATGTGTGTGCATGCTGTAGGTCTGGTTGAAGTCCTCTCTGTATAGATGTGTGTGCATGCTGTAGGTCTGGTTGAAGTCCTCTCTGTATAGGTATGTGTGCATGCTGTAGGTCTGGTTGAAGTCCTCTCTGTATAGATGTGTGTGCATGCTGTAGGTCTGGTTGAAGTCCTCTCTGTATAGATGTGTGTGCATGCTGTAGGTCTGGTTGAAGTCCTCTCTGTATAGATATGTGTGCATGCTGTAGGTCTGGTTGAAGTCCTCTCTGAATAGATATGTGTGCATGCTGTAGGTCTGGTTGAAGTCCTCTCTGTATAGATGTGTGTGCATGCTGTAGGTCTGGTTGAAGTCCTCTCTGTATAGATATGTGTGCATGCTGTAGGTCTGGTTGAAAGGAAAACTACTGAGTTGAGTTTTCTGTACTGCTCAGAAGAGAAAATAATATTTAAATAAAACACTATACTATAAAATGCAGATTTTTTCACAAATGCTCATCTTCTCTCTCCAGATGCAATCAGAAACATTTAAATCCATCCCCTGCTGTCCCTAAACTGTTTGTTCTGTTACACTAGTTATTTGTATTTATTTTATTTTGTATTTACTTATAAGAAATATTAGCTGTTATTACCATTTTATAAATGTTTGTCTATAAGTATTTTTCATTTTTTAAATAAAGACATTCTGTTAAATTTAAAGCTGTAAGCCAGCTTTTTTAAGTGGATGAATATTGTCTTTGGTGGTCAAACTGTCTGCAATATAAGTGGCAACTGCTGAAATCTTGCCTCAGGCACCAAAATGGCTCGGGCCGGCTCTAACCTGCAGAGAAAACTACATGAGCATTCTGGTTAGATCAGGATTTAAACTGGTACAGGCCCATCCTGTGGAGGGAGAAGAACCAGTTAACGACTACAAATAAATAAATGCAGGAGGAGAGGAGAGGAGAGGAGAGGAGAGGAGAGGAGAGAGAGGAGAGGAGAGGAGAGGAGAGGAGAGGAGAGGAGAGGACAGGAGAGGAGAGGAGAGGAGAGGAGAGGAGAGGAGAGGAGAGGCTAACACATAAGCCCTCCACTTCAGAGACGTTGACCTCTGATAAAATATCGGTTAACATATTTTTTTACATTAGATAATTGAGTCTAGACACTTGATTTGTCACCTACCAATTAATCATAGCAGGTGAGGGAATTTCAGTCCAGCCATCTGTCCTCACTAATCCCACAGAGAAATGAGCCTCTTTCACAGCTGACATTGGACTAGTTACAGAAAGCACAGGTGTTACTAATAACACTAATGTCCCTGTATAAACCATGGCGGTGAGCCAACGTGCAACATACCACAACCAGAAACAAGTAAATGGAGGTAAGCATTCATTTTGTTGTTCACATCTTTCCTTTCTCAAACCACTCCCTCCACACTGTGGCATGGAGTGAACTACTTCTGACGTCCAGCCCGTAGCTGAATGAAGGAAGGAAATCAGAGAGAGAGAGAGAGAGAGAGAGAGAGAGAGAGAGAGAGAGGGGAATGACTGACATGCCGGAAAAGAGCCGCAGGTCGGACTAGGCCATCTGCTCCCCACTGAGAGCCTCATTTGAGAGAAACACAGATGACAGCAGGACATATTAAGAGAAATGTATGCACACATTGAAATGTTATAGTCGTCGGGGGAGCAGATGGCCTTAGCAGTTTGGTGGGGCCCCATGTAGGGAGGCTATAGTACTGCAATCGGGCGGTACAGGTTCAAGTCCGGCCTGCCGCTCCTTTCCCAAATGTCTTTCCCATCGCTCTCTCCCTATTTGCAACTCAATCAACTAAATAAAAAAATCTTTAAAGGTAAAATAAAAAAAAAACAGTCAAATAACAACAACAGCCTTCTGGATGAATTAAGGTAAAAAAAAAAAAACAGGCCGAGCTGCTCAGGCCTGCTTTTCTAAGCCGACCTTGTATGTGACCCATGAATCTAGAAAATCAATTAAAAACAAACAAACATGGAGCTGTTTTCCTTTTTTTCAAATGCCAAAGAGATCAATGAGAAGGACAATCTGTGCACCAGGAGTTATGAGCCTGTGTAATATGCATGACTGCATTGTAGACCATCCAACACAACAACAACATCCTACACCAACACTTATATACTGTCCATGAACAAACAGAAGCATCATTTCCCACCACTGTGGATTCTGTTAAGCTCGCAGGTTAATTTCGGTCACTTCTCATATCAGCTCACTGAAAAAATAATGTTACAAAAATGTGCATTTCTGAGATAAGTTCATTGTTTACTGGTCATTAAATTGGCCACACTTCTGCTCTAGTGGTCACTTAGGGACCCTACCAAACAACCACCCTGTGAAGGTTATTCTGAGCTCCCCACGCGATCATTTTAAGCTGCTGAAGACGGTGGTCAATAGTTATGGTTAGGGCTATGATGCTAACTTGCTAAAATTGACAATGCCAGTATGAGCAGGTATGTTTACTAAAAGCAAAATCTTAGCTTGTAGGGTTAGCATGCTTATTAGCACTAACAGCTGTATCTGATAGAAATATTTAAAGTCTTCAAGGTGTTTAGCGAGGAATCAATGTGACACATGAATTGACAATTTTGACCAGAAGATGGCGCTAGAACAAAAGTCATGGAATCCCTCAGTGGTCACAATTTTATTCTCTGGGGACCATGAATGAATGAATGAATGAATGAATGGATCAAATTTCATAGCAGTTTATCATAGGCTGTATACCTCTGGTTCAGAGTGGTGGACCAGCCAACACACCAACATCCGCCCGCTCATGAGCAAATGAAGAACTTTGAGAGAATCAGGACGGGATGCTGTCGACACAAACACTTGTAGGCCGCACTCTCCATGTCTCCATCAACCTCCCCACCACCACTTAATCATTTTATCCAGAAAAAGCCAAATATCAGGATAAATAGCAGAGCACAAACCAGGGTAGACTATAGTACCGAGGTGTAGAACTGAATTTGGTCAAAAAATGGCGTCTGTTTGATGCACACATTACCAACACATGAAAACTCAAACATTGATTAAAAAACTAAAAAGCTGCATTAAGGCATCAGGATAATTAGTTAAAAAAAACAGCACAGGACATTTCTCTGTGTTTTTATTAAGTTAAGTTGCACTCTTGTACTATTACATCATGATGGTGTTATCTTTTTTTTCTTCAGGATCCTCAGTCTTGTTAGGGGGCGTGTCTGGCAGGGGCTTGTTGGGGGGTCATCCCTTAACCTGATTGGCTATCACTAGTGCCGCCAGATTATCATTAATTATGATTGGCTATTTGATATAACCTCATCCTCACCCCAATAATAAGACAGACCCTAGACTTTGTCGTAGAGAAATTGATTGAAGATTTTCATTTTAAAGAAACGGGGTTTTTTTTTTGTGTGCAAAGAGCTTTTTCCACATTTAAAAATGTTGATTTCTTATATTGAGACATAAATGTTTAATATATACTTTTGGCTTTTTGGGGTTCAGTTAATTAGCTCGGTAGAGAATGGTTGGTTTTATGTTATTTTTAACAACATAATTAAGATACATGATTTTTATGAAAGGATATGAGTAACGATAATGTGTTACCTTGTATGACTTAATGTCCAACACTTCCCTTTTTATTGTAAAATGAAGAACCATTCAGGTTTCGTTTCTCCAAATACATGTTTTGTACTTGTACATCTCTACAAATGCATGAGGAAAATCGGCTATATTTATATGTAGGCGACACCAGTCTGCCCCGTATCAAACATTAACCCACACCTATTAAACTGCAATCATGGTTTAACAGTGACAGACCTGCATGTCATCTTTCTGACTCTCTGTGTGGTTGCAACACACCGGGTCACCTCCTGGGCTGTTAAACCTCCTCCTGCAGGGCAACGAGCCCAGTCAGTCAGTCTGCGTGTTCCTCCCACTATTTTTTTTTTTTTTTTTTTTTTTCCACTGAGCGACAAGGCTCCACATTGTGCACAGACCTGCCAGCCAACCCAAGGTTACACTGACGTTTTCTGCGCTCGAAAAAAAGGTAGGCAGTCCCCTCTCTGCACGCAGCTGCACCTCATCACACACACTCAACATTTCATTCGACCGTGGTGGGACGTCTGGGTGACTTTACGGTGAGGCTTCCTGTCATTTTTTTTTTTTGTATCCAGAAAATGTGGCAGCGCGCATGGCGTCGGACCGAGCGAGGAGGGTTTTTCTTTTTTTTTTTGGGTGATGCTGAAGCGGTGACCTCTGTTAATGTAGGCTGGATGCGATCGACAGGATGCGAGAAGTTCAAACTAAAATATGTAGGAAGTATTAACTGTGACAGAGGAGGGGTGATGTAATGAGATATCCGCGTTTGGTGTGTTTCCTGTTAAATCAGGGCACCGAGCTGCTTCTTTTATACCGAGGACTGCGCGGAAAGTGCAGTTTAGATCACACGTGTGTGCGCGATGGAAAAAAGACTTTTTAATACAGTAATGTGGCGCGTTTAGGCTACTGCAGACGCCGGGGAGCAGATTCCTATTGAGTGTGTCATACACAGATTCCTATTGATTGTGTCATGCATGCATTCGCCATCATGCATCACCTTCTTTTACACTACAAAAAAAAAGACTTTTTCAGACAGAGCCAGCCCTGCAGTGGCTTCAGTGTGATTGTTGTCAGTATTGTGAAACGATTCTTCGTGATTTCCTGCTGGAAACTTTTCAATGTTGCTTCTTTTTTTTTGTGCTGATGTCTGCACAAAATGTGTGTAGGAAACTTCTGGAAAGCCATTTTAAATTTAAAGCTATAGTGTGTCGACACTAAGGCAACTCTAGGCTAAAATGTTTCTTACCCAAGAGATTTCTAGTCAATTATTTTGCCATGCAGAACCAGTGCAAGACATTACAACCAATGAATCAATGAATCAAGTGTTGGTATAGTAGACAACTTCCTATACCTGCACAACACTGAATACAATCCATCCATCGCCTCTGAGGGGTTGAGCAATTCAAAACTCTGCCACATGTTATTTCATGGTGCATGTTTGATATCAGGATGTTGGCTGTGTTGTTGGCAGTGGCGTGTTCAGAGGGGTTTCCAGGGGTGGCATAGGGACGCCAGATTGGCCACCCCAAAAAATCCCCAAACTATGATTGGCTGATTTCCTTTTCAGAAGTAGGACTAGGGTTAAAATCAACAATTTGGGCTGCGTTGCAACAGGCAGCTAGTCGTTTTCTGTGCATGTCAATGTATTATATTGTCTTTTGTTTGAATATTATGTTTTAAATAAATACTTTTTCACATCTCCTGCACGCTGTCTAACTCCAATTAACTGACTTTGTACCGAGACATTAGCAGTGCAAGTGTTTTTACAAGTTAGACAGTGTACAAGAGTTTGCATTTCACTTTGTAAGTTTCACTTCTTATTTTTATTTAACCAGGTAATCGACCCATTGAGATCACTATCTCGTTCACAAGGGAGACCTGGCCAAGAGTCATACAATTTGAATTATAACTTTGAAGAATTTTTATTTTTTTCAAGATTTATTTTTGGACTTTTTGTGCCTTTTAATGGAGAGAGAGGACAATGGATAGAGTCGGAAATCAGGGAGAGAAAGTAGGGAGTGACATGCGGTAAAGGAGCCACAGGTTGGATTCGAATTTGGGCCGTCCACTTGGAAGCCTATCGCCTCCATCCATGGGGTGCGTGCACTAACCACTGCTCCACAAGCGCCCCTAGGAATCTTCTTTTTGACTCCTTGAAGGATAAAACTAAGACGATTTATAAGTTGCCATTCTCTTATGTGACTTAAACTTAGATATGATAAGAAGAGATCATAAGTCAGTACCTCTAGTTTAGCTTCCCCAGTCCAAGAAAAAAGGTCTGTCTCGCCCCAGCTTGTTGGCTTAGTGAAATAATAAATCTTCACTGATGCAGAAAAAGCAGTGTAAATCCCATAAGACGGTGACAAAGTGCTGTTAATTGTTTTGCCAAATTACTCACAATTGCCAAACACAACCCCAGGCCATTTCTTTAAGGAGACTCAACACATTTGATGATGGATGTATACAGATAATGATGTTCTCTGTGAGACGGCCTCTGAATCATTCTGCTGTGTTGATGTCTCCTCAGTTTGAGTCCACAATGTTTTACTGGCCACTAAGATGCTCTCCTGTTGCAGCTTGCCATGCACTCATTAGGGCCGTGGAGATGATCATGTTCTGGTGCAGCCTAATGCATCTCTGATCGTCAGTGCCTGATGTATCTGTGCTGAGGTTGATCAGATTGAACCATTTGTTCCTGTATGGGGGAAGTGATTTAGGAAGTCATTTGTTGCCTTGGAAGCAGCTTATTCAAGTTATTCAAGTTAGTGACCTTACCTGTCTGTGCTGCTGCGACACCTGAATTTCCCCTCAGGGATCAATAAAGTATTATCCTATCCTATCCTCCTAAGTTCAATCAGGAGAGACTTAACCTTATTTTTTTTAACAATTTAGAAATAAATGTGCAAAATCTTTGGGGATTAGACTCCATCATGACGACTTCATGTACTCAGAGGGGTGATGAGGCCGACAGCAGGATAGGATACCCCCCTATGGAGTCTAGACCCTGGTGGTTAGAGGAATGCAGGCTCTGATGAAGAGGAATGCAGGCTGTGATGAGGAGGAATACAGGTTATGATGAGGAGTGGGTTTCTGTATATGCTGAGCTGGAATGGAGGTGATTGCACTGACACTTGTGTGAAACTGACTGTTTTGGCGTCTAGCAGCAGCAGGACGATTGGTTGAGAGAGGTTGTGGAAGAATCTGGTCGGTTAATTACTTTAAGAATAAACTCCCATAATCAGCTGATTACGAGAGATGGAGGAAGTAGTAGGGGGAGTGGTTTAGGTCTAATGAAGAGATGAATGAATGTGTGAAAGAATATAACCTGTCTTCCTGTTTGAACTTACGCTGAGCTCCATTTTGATTATCTGTACTGAAATGTGTTTTTGTCACCGGGATAAATGTGTTTGCAGGGAAGCTTTTGGGAGATAGATTTGATGTATTTGTTGAATATATGTGTTGCATCACAGGTGTTTCAAATGTTACCAAGGTCAAAATAGGAGTGTAGCAAAGTGATATGAAACCTTTCTGTCTTGAAATCAGACTCACCTTCCCAACCAAAAAACATATTTGTCTTTGGACAATGAGTTGAATAAGATTTTTGATCTTTTATGTAAAGGAATGTGTTGTTATTTACAGGATTGAAGTTAACTTCCTTTTTCAGGATTGACTGATGTTTCCTCTCATGCAGGTTGCTTTGAGATGTTTGAGCTTCTTCTGCTTCTGTCTCTGAAATCTGAGGACCTGAAACTGAAACCTCTATGCAAACAAAATCAGATTTATTTGTCATATTATGTTGAGTATTATTCATAAGTGTGTGTCTTTGTTGGAGAAACAGGCTTAATCTTCAGAGGTTCACATGGCCCTTTTGTATAATATACTATCACATCCAAAGGGGGAGGTCACAGAATAGACTGGAATGTCGGTGTTATTATGTTTGCAGCTGTAGACGCAGGTGTAGAGGCTGTCCAGCAGTGCAGCAGTCTGTGACGTAATTGGACTAAATCGGATGTATAGCTTGTAAACAAGTCAGTGGGGGAAAAAAACGAGCAGTATCCGGTTATTTCTGTTGTGAGGAGGGATTCTGTGCAAGCCTGAAGTGATACAGCAGGGTCTTGCAATATAACGGCATGCAGGACTCTGAGGTGTTAATAAATAAAGACTGGGCCTGATTGTTTTTCAAGTTCACAGAAAGTAAATCAGTTGCTGCTCTGCAGATCCAATTATTCCATCACAACTTCACATTGAAGTTAAAAGCATAGACTGTAAATAATAATGGATTAAGCCTGAGTGATGTCACCCATCTGTTTCGGCAGGTTATAAATGACGACACAATGTTTGAGAACGAACAAACCTGCTGAACTTTGTTAGCTTTAACTTGCAGCATCCTCTCTGTTAGCATCACATTGTTGTTGTTTGTGTTTGTGACATGATTTACCTCCAACGAGAACACCAATTGGTCATGTTGGAGGATAGTTAGCACACTCAACAAGTCCCATTTGATACATTACTGGATGTAAATACCAGTATGATAACAACTCTCTTTCAAATTGTAAGGCTCAGTCTAAAAGGGAAATAAAGGAGATTGCAATGCTGCAACTTCTTTGTCCAGGTTTCAATGTCAGGTGATCTACTTCCTGCAGGCTTTACAACAAAAGAGACCTTTTAGTAATAACTTTGACATTAAGAACCCCATCCATACATTGCTAACTCATTTAAAAGGCCTTCTGCTTTCTGCCACAGGGCTGAACAGACTTTCTCATGAGGTGAATTTTAACCTTTTAAATTGAAAAGTAACTTACCTCTGAGGGAAATACAGAATTCAACTGTCCTTTTGAACTTTTCCCTGAATGTTCGACAGGCACTTATGGTTACAATAAGTGTGTTTTTTTTGAACACACAAATGGTGGTGATCAACAGATGTTAACAATAATGCATCCACACAGTTTTACAGCTCTGGCAAGCGAGCATGCACAAACGATTAGAGACGTTTTATCCAAGTAAATGTAGCAGCACTGCAGAGTCTGTGGTGAGAGCACATTAGTGTTAACAAAGCATGTTGTTTGTACATACATTACCCTCAATAGTTTTAAAGCCAGAGTATCTAATCTTTGCACCAGTTCCTTAATGGGAAAACTGTGTGCCATTTGTCTGTTACACCTCACCTGTTGGCTTGTTTCCTGTTTTAAGTCCCAGAATGAGAAGTGCTGAGATTTGAACTTCACCTGGGTTGAAGGGGGGGGGGGGTCGTCCAAATATCCTCTAGTGTGTGGTGTCAATACCATTTTTGTCTGCCGGATGTTGTGTACTCATGCTGCAAAGTGTAACAGTCTCGCCGTATTCTTTTTCTCATTTTTTTGTTTTTCTTTGCTTTCCTTGCAAAATGAGGCAAGCCAGGACAGCTTCCTGATTTTCTTCCGTGCCCTGAACCAGTTTCAATGGAACTATCTATATAAAACCTGTTGAGCTACAATTGACAAACAGACAAAGATAGACACTAGCAGGTGAACACAGTGAATGTTTTGCAATCTAAAGAGTGAGATATACCCTCAGGATGGGTAGGAGAACAAAACACAGCTTATAGGAAAAAATGAAAATTGGACCAAAGGTCACGAACGCTCTGAACGGTGTCTCATTGTAGTAAGTGGATGTGTAAATGGGCGTTTTTTTGCTGACACATTCCTCATAACAATGCTAAATGGTGCAAAGCACGTCATCGGTTTGTTAGTCATGAATGTAATGCTATGTTTGTTATGTTGTCCTTCTTGTTAGTGTACTATAATCAAATCTATGCTGGCCTGAATTGTAATAATTAGAGGCATCAAATGAGCTTTCATGTATTCATAAAAATGTTAAACTGGTTGTGGGTTTGCAATCATTATATTTCTTGTTTTAGGTAACAAATGGAGACCTTCAATCATAAACTGAACACTTATGTAGAGTCATGGATGGGCCCAAGAGGTGAGTCTAATGTATATGTTCATTCTGGTAACGTATATATCGAATGTGATGCTCTCATGTTTAACAGGTTTGTCGAGCTACATGCTGGAACCTGAATGCCCGAGTTAAAAGTATTTCATCAGAGCAGAGGTCTACAATGAACAGATAAACATTACTTAAGACCTTTCACCCAATTGTTTCCTTACATGCTGTACTTTTTGTATGGACTTGCAGAGTTATTCTGCTCGAGTTTTTCCACCTCCTTGTTGTTAACCCTTTTAGGTGTTGAGCAAACATTCCTTTGTGCTGCTGTCTCACTGCTGCGTTTCCACTCTTCAATGAGGTCACCTTAACTTGGCCTCTGTATCTCCATATTTCAGATCAGCGGGTGCGGGGATGGCTGCTGCTCGACAACTACCCACCTACCTTTGCGCTCACAGTCATGTACCTTCTGATCGTGTGGTTGGGGCCCAAGTACATGAAAAACAGGCAGCCGTACTCGTGCCGAGGCCTCCTGGTGCTCTACAATCTGGGCCTCACGCTGCTGTCTTTCTACATGTTCTATGAGGTAAACCGACTAAGAGACGTGTTAAAGTAAAGGCCAATACAATCATCTTAATGCCACACATTCAGAGAGATTTCATAGAAATACGCTACCTACTACTGTGTGAATATAAAAATATATCTGTGCAATACTCTAATGTTTTAAGAATATGCTCATTTTCTTTTTGGTAAAGCTTGTTGGAAGAATAGATAATAATCATGAGGGTATGTAAAATATGCAGAAACAGCCAGTAGCCTCTTAGCTTAGCATAAAGACGAGAGGCAGAGGAAAATTGCTGACCCAGCATGTTCAAACTAGTAAAATCCCAATACCGTCCCATCTAAAGCAGGTAAATCCTTCTTTTTTTAGACTTTTTAATGAGTCATGGGTCTCACTTTATCTCAGCTAAATGTTTTCTCTTCAAGACGAGAAGACATTCTTAGCTTGGGGGCGGCAGTAGCTCAGTCTGCAGGGACCTGGGTTGGGAATCGGAGGGTCGCTGGTTCAAGTCCCAGCACAGACCAAGTCCAGAAATTGGCATGGTAGCTGGAGAGGTGCCAGTCTACCTCTGCCAATAATTTAGCACTAAGGGTGCGGTCACACTGGTCTGCTGTACCCAAGCACGATTGCCCCCCCCCTGAGAGAGAGAGTCTTATATTGTGTCATGTTAGTCAGATACAGACATGAAACTCTGGATTTCTCCTTAATGAAGGCTGTCAGCGTTGTGTACCCGCGTGCTCGTGCATGAAGTGTACCGTGCCTGAGCACGACATGGAGCGGTCGCACTGATCAAACGAACTGGACTTCAGGGTTGAAGCGTGCTTGGGCACGGTAGGGTTAGCCAGTGTGACCGCGCCCTGAGAAGAAACCACCAAAAAGCACAACCTGTGCCAAGCTAAACTAGCTAGCTGCAGGCTCTAGCTTAATACAAGAGTGGTTTTAATGACTGGTATGGAAGGAAAAGAATGAGCACATCCCTCAAAATGTACTGTTCCTGTTAAATATGGAGCTGAAGTTGGGAGATTGTTAGCTTAGCTTAGCTTAGCTCTTACCACTGTAACTTTTGCTGCTTTGCTAAAGTGCTCATGATGGATAGGCCGGGTCTTTGTAACATAACAATAAGTAAGGTCTTTTACCTGCTTTTTTTAAAGTGTCTCGAGATAACACTTGTTATGAGTTGATGCTATACAAATAAAAATTGATTGATTGATTGATTGACATGTTTTAGCCTTCAAATCCCTCCTTTTGCCTTTGCTGACAGCCTAAAGCTGTTTTTTTTGTAAATAAGTATAACACAGCTGTAAATAAATACAACTGATAGAGATAAACAAACTTTAAACTGAATTCTTTGAGTGTGAGCTGCCCCCACTGTGTCGGATGAAATAATTCTGCCTTGGTAGTGATCAGTTCTGTTTTGTGTAACAATGACTTAGTTGTATTGTTAGAATAAATTATCTGCACTTCTGTCCAAATCCAGCTGGCAGAAAAAAGCTTCTCCTTTTTCTGTCTGCATTGCGTAAGGCCCAAACTGACAGTTGGCTCTGTGCTGAACTTTTTGGCTGTCCAAAATCAATGTGACCAAAACTGCGCTCTACTTTGACGTGATTAAAGTACAGGGCAGTTCAGTTCTTGTCAACTATCCAGGGCACAGAGGCTCATCACATAATCATTGTGATTAATTTTGTGTTTTTTTTTCTTTCTTTTAAAGCTGACTTTTGCAGCTTCAGGTTTTGAGAAAGTATCAAGGTGACCGGTTAAGTTAGAGATGCTTTAACTATTAAATACCTCAGGCCTTAAATCTTATTTTACATTTTTTTGCATGAACCAGCTCTCTCAGAATGCTTCGTTTTGGTGTGTGTGTCTCTTTAAATGTAATGACCGCCCCCTGAGTTTTCCTGGTAGACATCACTCCTTCACTGGCGAGAATAAAAATGGCGGACCTGCTCAAAAGTTTTGCTCCAGGCTGGAGGTGGAGTCCATGGGTGGAGTTACCAGGGGAGGAGAGGGGATTTTTTTTTACCAGAATCCCACAGTGAAGGAGAGCAAATTTGAAACGGAGCATTTTTCTGTGTGTTGTAAGACTTCTGCGGACCACAAATAAAGGACTTGATGGGTTTATTTCACATCTTATGGGTCTGTAGACACTCAGGTTACCCAAACATGTGTTCAAAAACACTGTACAAGTGGATTTTTCATGATATGTCCCCTTTCATAAAAGTAGAGTCTGAGATTGTAATATTTGTTCCGTCTGGTAGTTTCCCAAACCTCCCACATGTTTTATGTCAGGGGGTCAGGTTTCCACCCTTTTATTGTGATACATTCGATGGCTGTTGTGCTGTTATCAACATCTGTTAAAGATGTTCTTTAGCTCTTCCATTCCCAGCCCTGATTTTAAATATCCATGCCAATACTTGCAGCTGTCTTCTCCCTGTGTTTAGAAATGCTCCAAAGGATCACATGAAGCAGCTTCCTGCACTCTCTGTGATAACATCTTATACTTAAATGACCTTTAACCAACAAGACGAACGTTGTGTTTCAGGAGCACTGAGAGCTCAGGCTGTAGATTAATAGTAACCAATGTCAGCAGCTGAAGAGCGGTCACCATAACCTGTAGCAAACAGATGTGGGTCAAAATGTTGTGCATTGGCTTGGTTCTGTTTCTTTTTAATAGCAGGGAGTGGAAATTCTTCGAAAACCAGATCATATCCCTCTACAAGTTTGACTTTTTTCTATTAATACTTTTTTTTAAATGTATGCATATTTTAACAAACACAATAAATAGATGGGTGACATTTAACCAAAGTGCCCACTAACACAAACAAACTAAACATTTAAACAAACTACTTCTCAACATAAAGCCACAAATACAAAACATGAGAGAAGTTGAGGGTTTGTCTTTGTATTGATCTCTATGTAACATTAATGGAGGATTTCAGTTTGGTGTCCTCTGATGCTCACTAAAGGTCTCTGAGTCAAACTGCACTGTCGTAAAAAACGCAATGTGCTGTTACGTTTCACCCTCGTGGATAATGTGCATTTTGACAAGCAGAGGGTGGCAAAGCAGGATGTTCTCAAGGACATCCTCCGACAAACGAACTGCTGTTTGCAGGTAGTGAAAGCCTCCGCTCTCCTCCAGCGACACACCTCCAAACCCCCCTCGCCTCGCGTTTGCATGTAGAAGTTATCAAATGGAGCGCACCATAAAGCGCAAGCGACAGACCAAATTATCCTTCGCTCGAGCTGCCATTACCTGTGTCCTGATTTGTTGTGTGAGCACACTTGGTTAGCTCGTAGCTTGATATTGCATGTAAGTTGACACAGAATGACCGTGATCTAAAGACACTTATCTGACATCCAAATAAGCAGAGAGTATGTTCTTCTTCTTTTCTCTTTTCCTTGACTAAAAAAGCTTTATACACAAGGGGGAGGAGCCGGCTGTCCCGTCCATGTATACATGATGTAAACGCAGCTCAGACAACAACACAGCCAGCGGGACTCAAGCTTCTCACTCATTGTAGACAGTCACGACTCAGAGAGACATTTACACAGGATTCATTTCATATTTACGTTGCACATTCTTCCTTTAATGTCTTGTTGCGATTTTTTTTATTTTTATAACTCACCTGTTTTAATATTATGAAAGATACAAGTTATGCATAATTAGAGGCGCGACTGATCTGACTGCAAAGGCAGCATTTCCAATATGGCAACGGCATACCCATTGGTTTGTCTTTCAGAAATCATTGGGTGATGATCAGACTTCATGTTTATGCAGTATGAGTGTTCCATCGAATAGTGCTTCCCATCAATACGTGCTACCTTTGCGCAGTACAGGGAGAATTATTTGCTAGGGGATACAGATTGGCTATCGTTTTGGGCTTTGGTAGTATTTTAAGTCAAGGCAGCAAATCTTGTCGTACTCCAGCAAAGACGTTGTGAGAAGCCACGTCAATATTTACTCTGCACCAGCTTCCTGCTCGATCACCCTCTCTTTTTCTCTTCTTAGCTTCATCCATCACGTCCTCTTCCGTCTCTTAGCCTCAGTCGTTGTATCAAACCTAACGGGCCTCTTGGATGCTGAAGGCTGCTGTGTGAACTAGTGTCGTCAAACTGTGCACACATCTCGCAAGAGAACCGAGGCCTGCCGCCAAAGTTACAAAACAGGCCACTGGGGTGCTCTGTGGAAACGGGACAGACGGCATTACATCAACTTTGAAATTACTTTTAGGGTGGAAAGTTCACGTAATGTTGCTTTAACCATGTTGTGAGGTTTCCATTCCTCCTCTTAATCAGCTGATTAATTCGAACATTTCACAATGATAGTAAACTGTGCTCATATCTTTAAAAACAGATCTGGTTTCCTTTTCTTTATCGATGTAATTTTCTCCAAAGGCAACATCATTAGTATTTGCTAACCCAATGTGCAACCATTTCTTCCAATATATTGATCTATTGGCATGCTGGAGACATATTTATCAATTTTGTTGACTTGTAGTTAAAGCATGCTTTTTTTTTTAGGGGTCTAGGCCAAAACTAACGAGCGCAGCATCCATTGGAAAATCTTTCAAAAACAATCTTGTCCATCCTTCTTTTCCTTCTTTAACCTCCTCCAGAATATAACGATCTGACCGCACAGCCAAACCGAAATCCAACAGTGTCTATTTCTCGTCATTTTCTTCATACATCTGGAATATCGTTATCATATCTATTTACTTTCACTGGTGTGATGTATGTTCTCATTGTCCACTTATACTACAGTCCCCTTAGTTGATTATTCCTTTATTGAGCGTGGACCCCAGTAGACTGATACTCAATCCTCTAATGTTACATCCATTTCTAGGTCGTCCCTCCCTGCGTGTTTCACATTTATTATATATATTCAGCATTTTGTTCTTCACTAAAAAGAGTGTGCTTAGCTTACATATTCAGGGATTTGTGACACGGCTATTAATCATTTATCTTGATGTCTTTCTCTTCAGCTTATGGCGGCTGCTTGGTACGGTGGATACAACTTCTACTGCCAGGACATTTACAATTCACAAGAAGTGGATACTAAAGTGAGTCAGGTTTTCAGAACGCCACCTTTTCATATTCACTCATTTAGATTTTATTTTAATTGATCTCCATCCCTGAAGTTATTTTGACACATGCATGATTTCCCATCTTGTTTCTTGATACACTTCTTGTGATTGTAGCCTAAAAGCAAATAAGTGAAAATTAAAGTAAAATGTGTGTTTTTTTTTGTTTTCCTGCTATTAAACCTACTGCTTTGTTTTCTCTGTCAGCGTATCTATAAATCCCAGCAGATAAGCTGCAGAGACAGGCAGTCAATTTAATCCGAATCATGTCATCATGTTGACTCGTCAGCTCCGCAGTGAAAGTGAAAACTAAGCTCATTGTGGAATCTGCAAAGCTTTTCATTTCTGCACTTCATGAATCAAACCTTTGATCGGTGTGTCGCCGCTGAAGATAAATCGCGTTATGATTCCTCCTGAACATTCAAGGACAGTGAAGGCAAGGAATGTTTATAAATAGAGCACAATCCATACTAATAGTAACTCAAAAGTATGTATAAACAATGAAATACATCTTAAAAAAGAAGCTCTCAAATACTTCTACTTTAATTTACAATAATAAATAAGACGTTAAGATTTAAAGTATAAGTCCAGTAACTATTTAACTAACTGTTTCATCACCTTTAAATCATGAAATGCAAACAACACTCCTGCTCAGGCTTTGTATTTTAATGCCCAGGGACAACAGATGGAAATTAGCTAGCTAGCTAAATCTGGTACAAAGCATGTCTTCTCCTCTGAGACTAATGTTTTGTTTTTTTTGTACACTGTCCCTGATTCAAATAAACAAATAAACTAAACTCAGGCTTCGCGCACCGCCTCAGAAAATGTAACAACAAATCAAACAACTCCAACAAGCCCTGTGATTGGACCGCTGGGTGGCATAATATCTCATTCCGGTATCCCCTGCTGTTGTGTACAAAAGGAGAGAACGCTAAAAGCTAGTATAAACAACTGCTGCTGGAAAATCAATCATCGGCTCCAATTCCAACGTTATATGCCGGGTTTCAGTTGCCACGGTTACCTGTACACAAACAAGCAGAGAATGTGGTGGAACTGAAACTGGCAAAATAACAAGCGTAGAAATCAGACCGCCAACTTTCGTTGTGAGTATTGCACAGCTAAGCAGACGTACGACCGCTCACGGGGGCGTCGGTCACTATGGCGTCTACTAAGAGTTTAAACCCACTCGCTTTCTAACACAAAACACTGTAAACGCTTTTTCAAGTCAACTCGTCAGTCCTTACTTGTTTGTGTAGGGCCTCAAACCTGGTATGTTGTTTTCATTGAGCTTTTGACTCTTTTAAAATATTCTATTCGGACTCGAACCCTGCCTGTACGTTGTTGCATTAACTCGTTTCTTGTCACCTTTAAACGGTTGAATGCAAACACCACTCCTGCTCAGGCCTGATACTTTCTCTCCTCTAAGGTGCCAGATCACCTCACTGAAGGTCGGGGGAGCTCCGTCTACTCGAGAGCCCGGTCTCTGCTGCCTCCTGGACTTCTAACACACCAAATATACAACATACAGATATGATTTCTTTTTCTGTTTTAAGGCTCCTGTGAGGCCTTTTTATCCGGTTTATGAAACAGACAGAAATGAATTCTCCCGCCGCTATATGACTAAAAAAGCACAACTAGACCATCAGAAAGAGGATTGGCTATTTCTATATCACAAGTAGCTCTCCTGTCAGAGGGTGTGTGTCGCTACCAGAACATCCATTTTCATTGTTTTTGACATTCATGTTTTGTTTCACTGTGTCTCCTCTCAGATCGCACACGTCCTGTGGTGGTACTACTTCTCCAAGCTCATCGAGTTCATGGACACCTTCTTCTTCATACTACGGAAGAACAACCACCAGATCACCATTCTTCACATCTACCACCACGCCAGCATGTTGAATATCTGGTGGTTTGTTATGAACTATGTACCCTGCGGTCACTGTGAGTGTTTGAACACAACTTTCCCCCTTCAGTGACTCAGGATCTTTCAGGAACCACATTCACCGTGTAGCTTAATAATTCAAGGGCTCTAATTTGGAACCCATCAGCCCTAAAAAAAAAAAAAAAGAAAAAAAAAAGCCTGTTTACCAAATGAAAAGCTGTGAAGGAAACGAGCAACACTTACTGACCTGACGGTGGCTGCACTGTGTAGCATGCTTTATCATCGTTTTCTATTTTTGTGTGTGCAAAAAAACAACAAAGCAGTCTGCAAATTATGAAGCTGTCTCAGACTTTACACTGAAAATCTCCTCAAAACGATCATTTATGTGTCATATTTTACCTGTAAACACGGGTTATTATCTTACCTGTAAATATGATTGGTTGTTTTTCAGAAGGTCATTATATTATTACTTTACAGTTAATGGCTTCTATTGATTTTACCTCCAAACAGAGCAGACTAATGAAGCGCTTGTTGAGTCTCTCTCTCTCTCTCTCTCCGCTCACTTGACTGTTAATGCTCGCTGTAGATGAATAACTTCCTGCTTCTCTCTCCTCTGTCTGTTGTCAGCGTACTTCGGTGCCGCCTTAAACAGCTTCATCCACGTTGTGATGTATTCATACTACGGCCTCTCAGCCATTCCAGCCGTGCGGCCGTACCTCTGGTGGAAGAAATACATCACACAGTTACAGCTGGTGGGTTTATCCCCCTGTTTCTTTATTCCCGGTGATACAGGAAGTATGGACATCTTGACATGACCCCAGTAAATGATTACCAATTAAAGTCCTGCCCTCAAAAGTTCATAAAGAAAAATAATCAGACGTACTTATAGATCTGATCATGCAGTAAAAAGGATAGTTGGTATTATACTGTAGGTAGGTTTACTATTTTTTTTTTTTTTTTTAATTATAGAATAAATATTATTACCGATGGAATCATCTATGAGAAGCATTTTTAATGTTGTAGAGGGTTTGAACTGTTATTTATACTGTTGGGGTTTTGCAAATGAATTTGTCCATAAGTTAAAATTTCCTAGTGGTAAATACTTGTTTGTTTCTCTGAGATTTCATGTTTATTTATTTCATTTTTATGCCTTAATTGAAGGACAGGACAGTGGATAGAGTCGAATATCAAGTGCATTAAAAAGATGTCAACAAGAAGATATTTTCATGACCTTCGGTGGGATTATCGTTGAGATTCACTTGACAGTCGGGCGCTGATGTTTCTATTTAGAAATGTATTTTATTTTCTGCAGCAGCCTCTTTCAGTGGAGTTGTTTGTATCGTCCATGTGAGATATTTTAGGCTCTGGATCAATGTTTCTCTGTGTGTGTGTGTGTGTGTGTGTCACCTTCTCACTGTGGTGCATGTGTCGTATTTCCTCCACAGAGCCAGTTCTTTTTAACCATGTCTCAGACCATGTGTGCCGTCATATGGCCGTGTGGATTCCCTATGGGATGGCTGTACTTCCAAATAGGCTACATCATCACGCTCATATTCTTTTTCGCCAACTTCTACATTCAGGTGAGTGTTTTATTTCTTTGATTCACTTTTAATTGATGAGTTTGAAGTATACTTTATGAAACTCTGCTTGCGTGTGTGTGTGTCTGTGTGTTGGTATATGGACACAAGTATATGTGTGTGGGCGAGGGATAAAATACTTCCTGTCAGATTAATTAAATGCGACTGTAGAGTCAGTGAATTATTCTATTTTTTAATGAAACTATGATTATTATTTTTGTTGAAACACTGACTGTTCTGATGAACTCGAACCCTTACCCACTCAAATAAATAATATATGTGGATACGGGGATTGGGTAGGGGGGGGATCATTGCTTAAGCAAGGTCAACTGGGCCTTGAGTGTCAGTGCGACCTTAGACACTTTGTGTTTTAGAGCTGTTTATTGCCAGATGGAACATTAACATCTGCAAGTAAAAGATTCATGAGAAAAAAGATGTAAAGCTTGGCAGGTTGAGTGAGAACATAACTTTGTTGAGCATTTTATTAACAACAAAAGACAATAAATTGTATCTTATCTTAATTGGATGGTTTCTCTGCTTCTCTTTCTCCAACACAAGACGTACAAGAAGCACAGTGTTTCTCAAAAGAAGGAGCACCAGAACGGCTCTTCTCTACCAACAAACGGACACGCCAATGGGACGGGGTCTTCGGAGCACACTGCGTACAAGAAGCTGAGGATGGATTGACATTTGATTGACAGCTCTCACTGTAGCGAGTTAGCCAATGCTGCTAAGAGGTATATGTATCTTCTTAGGTAGGATAGTCTTGCACTCACTTGAGATCAAATAAGCCATAGCCACATGTATCCAGAGACTGTCCATGTTTTTGCACACATTCCTACTCATGGTATTGTTCATGTTCATTAAATCGGTATATTTATGGAGAAGAGTATTGCAGTATGGTTGACACCGCACAATATTGCCTCCCCCGCCCGGCCTGTGGAGGAAAAACTCCTTCTAAAGCAAAAAAAAACTCTTTCCTGCTACCAGCAAACAAACTCACAAACGCACTCATTAAATGACGCTTTACACACAGAAGGTCCAAAGATGAAGCGCCTGTGTGTGTCGGCAGCTCAAGGTTTCATCGTCCTCGACAAACTACGGGACAAATAAAACAACTCAGTGGTCTTTACAGTCCTTAATGTGTAACTAGAGCATGCATCTTGCGCCTGCTTGACCTTACATCCTGCCTCTAGCGTTGCATAATCCTAAAGTTTGCCCTGTGTGATGCTGTAATGTGTATTTATTGGAAGGTTGCAACAGCAGAAGTTTACAGAAGCAGAAGCAGAAGCGTCTACAGATTAGAATATATAGCCATGTAAACAAAGTGTAACCAAAGCTTAGTGTACTATACTTATATTTAAAACAGGTTAAGACACAATGTTCAAGGGCCATGTTGTGTATTATGAGCACAATTTAAAAGCATTTCCTTCGAACATTTTACCCCTTGTGCAAAAAAGAAAAAATCTGTTGATCTCCTTTCAAAATGTCTTTTATCTACTGTAGTTTTATCCAGTAAATGCAAAAAGTACTTGAAACCCTTACATCATAGAAGAAGGCAATGTCCTTTAGGCCGCAGTGCAACTGTTTATAAATAAATATTAGGGCTGTTAAACGATCACGTTTGAATCGCAATTAATCGCTGAATTTCAATAGTTAATCGAGATGAATCACATTTTTAATCCTGTGTTTGAAATTCAATTTTTTCGCATTTTAAAATTAAAATTGTTAGGCTTTTATTTTGAATTTGTGTACTGTCTTAAGCTGAGAGTAATTAACCGTTTGAATTCAACCCTGCTTTTATTTTGAAATATAAGTAAGGACCTTTCATGTAGATCGAACTTTACGACACTTGACCACGGAAAAGGGAATTGTTTGATGTCAGGAGGTTGAAATGACTTTGGACTCAATGACTGATCTGTGATGAGATGCGGCGGTGTTGTTCTTTTCCATCTGTGACTACAGGAAGTCACTGAGGAGGCTTATCTACAGTGCGCCTAAAGGGACGAGCTAGCATGCGATTATTCACAATTTGAAAAAAGAATGCATTAATTTCAGACCTTTTCTTAATCACGATTAACAAGTAAATGCTGACAGCCCTAGTCAATGTTTGACTTTACTGAAGCCAAAAGTGGGAATGCATCCATTTACGTTTTTACTTTGTTTGCTGATGATAACAAGCTTTTTCTGGTTGTTTCCTGTTTCCTGAAATTGCAAGCTTTTAGTCTCCAGATGATAGGATCCAGTGTTGTTATCTCCAAATAACGAGATTAAGAAGTCAAGATCTCAAGAAGACGACCATAAATGACTCATTATCACGGGGAAATTGGGGGCTGTGCAGTGGTTAGCAAGGTTCCTGGTTCAAATCCCCGGTGGACAGGAGCCTCTCTGTGTGGAGTTTGCCTGTTCTCCCCGTGCATGTGTGGGTTCTCTCCAGGTACTCTGACTTCCTCCCACAGTCCAAAGACATGCTCGTTAGGTTCATTGGTGACTCTAAAATTGCCCGTAGGTGTGAATGTTGCTGGTTGTCTGTGTCTAAATGTCCGTTTTCACATATGCACATATAATAATAATAATAAATTAGATTTATGTAGCGCTTTTCTATATACTCAAAGACGCTTTGACAGGAAACAACAAAAAACAAAGCAAAAGCTAAGAGAACAATACAACAAGAAGTAGTGGAAGAGGATGAGAGTCAGTGGTTGTAGGCGGTGATGAAAATGTGAGTTTTTAGGGATTTCTTGTAGGAAGTGAGTGCGGGGGAGTCTCTGATGTTTTTAGGGAGAGAGTTCCAGAGGGTGGGAGCTGCAATGGAGAAGGCCCTGTCCCCCCAGGACCGAAGGTTGGTCCTGCAGGGGGGGGATATGCAAATATTTATGTACATATATGCAAATATGTAGATAATTTTGGGAGGACTGCTCCAGAGATTATCCCAACCTGGGTAAGACGTGATGTAAAAACACAACGTGGAAGTAGCGGACGAAGCAACAGTCCGTTACACGATGCTATAATAAGAATATTTGCCTTTATATCAATGCTAATCATAGTCCAACAGAATGACAACATCAACAAAAGAGTGGAGAACAACATACTGACGAACTGGAAACAAAATGCAGCTGTTTAATTACATGCACAGAGATCGTAGTGGTCGTGTGCAGACACTCTAAGCACCGTGCAGCGGTCACTGTATAGAATCGTCAGTCCCCCTCCTATTGGCTCGAGGTGAATTCTCCGGAGAATATCCTGCTGCGTTCTCACATCAGCTCACTTCGAACTTGCTGCGGAAACTCCGGGGGAAGTCAAAGCGAAAAATTTGGCTCACACATACAGCTCGTCCGGGAAATAGCCTGAGTTTTTAAGGAGATTGAAATCCCTATATGTCAGCTTAACGACAGCTGGGATTAGGTCCTCTAGCCCCTGCAGCCTGACCGGGAAAAGCTGTATAGATAATGGATGGATGGACGGGGAAATGGAGTGAATACAATCAAACTCTGCATGTCCGCTGAGGGCTTCCGTAGTCGTTTATGCTCATATGTTACATTCAGAGAAAGCTTTCTATGCTTTTGAGAGTCAAAGCTCATTATTGATCTCAGTCGCAGAAGTTCAGAAAATAATCTAACCTCAAGGTTCATTTTGGTGACAATCAGGAGCCTTTTATTATTTCATGACCTTATTAAAATTGTCAAACGATCCATAACCCCACTTGATCTTGTGGTTGTACACTGTGTCAGTTAATCCATGATTATTTATTTTAGAGTCTTTACAGAAACAGGGTGCCTTCTTGTACCAGTTGATTTACTTTGTACTCTAGCTTTTTTTTTTTTTTTTTTTTCAACTTGCAGATTTATGTTATTCCACGTCAGACTCGTATATATTTTCTGAACACTTGGAGAAAATATTGTGCCTGCTTTATGTCTCTGTTTCTTGCCTACCAAATATGCTAAACCATTACTTCTCACTGACACATTGCTACGGACGCATATTGCGTTCACATGAGAAAATAAAATCATCTCTGTTTTCCTGAATTAACAAGATACCAGCGTATTCTTTTGGTTTGGGTTTGAAACATGGCGAGATACTCCTGTCTTTAGGTAACGAAGATGGTTTTGTTTTTAGTCTGTTCTTAGATCTCTGCAGTTCAAACGCAAACCCCGCCCGCTCTGATCCGTCGGGATCAGCTGAGCCCATAAGAGATGTTTCACTGATATAATGTGATTCATCTGAAATGTGTGCAGGCTGGGACAATAAGGCAATTACTGATAACACTGGATCCCCACAGAGGCGCTGGGTTTTGGCAAGAAAAAAAAAAGTGCCTTTTAACTTGTCGAAATAATTATGTTTTTAATTAAGAAAAATAGAAATGTTCTCATGTGAATACAATACGCCTCCTTACATTGCCCACCAAATACAGAAGAGAAGATTATTTAATATCAAAGGAAATGCACTTATTTGCTTCCTTGCAGGGAGTAAGACGAGAAGATTTATTCCAGTCATAACTTGATGTTAAAGGTGCACTATGTTGATTTTGTAGTGAAATTTGAAAGTTGGAGAAGTGAAACAATTCTGTGCTATATTTTCTGAACCAAATACACAAACTTTACTCGAAAAAAAAATTGGTCTCTGAACACTGTCTAGAGCTTAAAAGCTACCAGGAGAGTTACGGTTTTACTGTTGTTGTTGTTGTAACTTCTCATGTAGCATTTTATCTTCAAACAGTGTTACAGGGACCAAATTTTCCTCTGGGGACAGTTTGTGTATAGAGTTATGAACATACACCACAGAATCTGTACATTTATCCAACTTTCACAAAAACTCCAAAGTGCACCTTTAAATAAAAAGCTACAGCCATTAGCCGGTTAGCTTAGCTTAGCAAAAAGATTGAAAACTGGGTTGAGCAGCTAGCCTTGCTCTGTTCAAAGGTGACAAAATCCAACAACATGACTCTCCAAAGTTCTCTTTTGATGATGTTTGATTTAAGCCTGGCTAGCTATGTCCTCTTTTTTTCCAGCTTTATGCTAAGCTAAGCCAACCAGGAGCTAGCTATACCTTCATATTTAGCATGCCAATAAAAGATGCTCTCAGTCTAGTCACGTCGGTCTCCTGAAGAAAGAAGCTTTATTTTTCCAAAACAGTGAAGTATTCTTTATTTTCAAGAAACAGATTAGACTGTTTATCCTTTTAACAAAATGACACGTGAAAGCAACAACAACAAAATGAGATTTATTTGTTCGGTTTTCTGGTGGCGAAAGAAAGGCGGTTGCAGCAAACTGTGTTCCTGATGTGATTTTATTAACATCTTTGTCGGGGGCTTACACCGCAAACGCTGGTCTAAAACGTCGAGTTTGAGCGACGAGCTGTGGAGCGCTGCAGCACCGTGCCGATTCAGTTTAATGAGCGACTGCGAGGCCTTATCCACCGAATGAGCAAAAACACGCCGCTCAAACGTAAAGGTGACCTAGATTCAAATCCACTGTATTAGAAAATATTGTTAAATCTGAATAATACATGCAAAGGTCACTTTCTCTCTGCATGATGAATTTGGTCCGCTGAATATCTGCCAACACATGCATGAAGCATATCTACTGAGACGCTGAATAACTGTTTCTAGCTACATCCTGTTACTGCTCCTCATGTGTACAAGGTGATCGTGCCGAAGATAACCATGTTTATGTGTTTCAGGGCAGGATAAGTATTTCAATACAGCCTATTTGCTAAAGGCCAAGGAAGCATACATGTATGTGAGGATATATATTACATACCATTTATAAACTGTTAAAATAGATGTATATTTTCAGAAATCTTGGGGTGAATGTGGGTTAACATGTTGTGACTCATGCTTTACTCGCTGTAACACATTAAAGACAAACTGAGAATGTGAACCTTCTTGTTTCCAAGCTGCTGTTTTGTTTTTTAAGGGATTTATTTTTGGGCTTTTATGCCTTTGTTGGAGAGTCGGAAATCAGAGAGAGAGAGAGCGAGAGAGGCCGGATTCTAACCCGGTCCACTATCCTTTCTCCTCCTGGGCACACGTTCACACACTGATGGCAGAGGCTGCTATGTGAAGTGTCCATCAGTAATAACTAATCCCATTCATACACATTCACCTGCCGCCATTGCCGAAGCAGCAGGAGCAACTTGGGGTTAAGTGTCTTGACCCTGGACACATCAGACGTGGCTGCAGGAGCTGGGAATCGAACCCCCTGACCTTCCTGTTCAGAGACAACAGACCGCACCTTAATAAGAGGCTTTGAAACTATACTATATACTAAACTATATGAAACAATATGAAACTTTTCCCCCCCTATTTTTGCCATTAAAATATTCTAATGAATTTGACGCTAACATATAAAATAATAGAATGTAAAAGTAGATGATACAATTATTAGGGATTTTCACACAACAAGCTGGTATGATTTAATATTAATCAGTCTAATTCAATACACTTTCCCTGCAAAAATGTTCTGCAGATTTTTCCTGTGTGCATACCTCAGAATAAAATCCTTTTTTATAACACATCTGCAGCTGCTGCAGTGCTTAACATGATGTGGTTCAAATAGCTCCTGCTCTAGTAATGCTTGACGAGACAGATGGACTATACTTTATATTTAACAGGTAGAATAATTTTATAATAAAACACAGGTATGCTAAAAAGGTTAAATCCCTTTTCTATGTTTGGAGCTGTGATGCACTGCATTGACTTTGAAGTCGGTGTGTAAGCGGATATGTTCTTCTTTGGGGGGAAAAACACAAGCTGGTTGAGTGAACAACATGCAGAGCTTTCTCGGTTACATTTCAAACCCTTCCTGTGGAGAGTTCTGAGAAGAACACAGATTTTCTTCTT